AAGTTGAGCTCTTTGAATTCTCATCTGGAGGGAATGTTGGCCAGGAAGTCTTTCTACCTAGAGAGGCTGAATCCACCTGTGCATAGCGCTAGTCCAGACCTCTGTCTCAAAGATGCCCATGTGGCCACCAGAAACGGTGGAGCATGGGATTCAAGAAGACCACTGGCCCGAAGTGGTCTCCTTAACACTATATTTCAGAGATCTCACCACTGACCCTCAGAGATCTCCTCATTAGTCTGTCTTGGCACCAGAATCTTCGTGTTTATCATTCTTTGGCTCTGGACCCTGAGGGTCCTTGTTAAAATGTAATCAGTTCAAGAAAGTGCCAAAAGATCAGCAAGGACATCTCAGAGGACATTTGACAGGCCTGAAGAAGCTCCCATTGGCCAAATGTAAACTCCCTTGTAGGACATATTACATACTAACAGAGTATGACAGAGTAGATCTGAAAAAAACAACCCACAAGTCTACAGGAGCACTAGGAAGAACACCCTACCCTCCTGAACATGAGACAGGGTCTTACTATGTGGCTCGAATCAGCTTCAGACTCATGATGGAGGGCCTGAAATTTCCCACGCTTTTGCCACAGTTTCTGAAACTCTGGAATTATAGGCCACTGTGCTCATCCTGAGAAACAAAGAGCTTGTTTTTTATACTGGGGTGGGGGGTGCGTGCACACCACATTGCATGCATGAGGTCAGACCTTTCTGTCTTGTGTGAGACAGGTCTTTCTTGAGAAATGACTTTTATTACTATTTTTAAACATTTTTCTTTTATAGTTTATTTGTATTCTATGTGCATTGGTATTTTGCCTAGATGTATATTTGTGTGAGGGTGCCAGATTTTGGAGTTTCAGACAGTTGTTAGCTGCCATGTGGGTGCTGGGAATTGAACCCAGGTTCTTTGAAAGAGCAACCAGTGCTCTTAGCCACTAAACCATCTCTCCAGCCCTTGTTATTATTATTTTTAACAGATTAGAACCATCCAATAAATTTAGAAGAATGGTAAAATTTTAAAAAAATCACTGGGCAGTGATGGCACATGCCTTTAATCCCAGCACTCAGGAGGCAGAGGCAGGCAGATCTCTGGGAGTTGAGGCCAGCCTGGTCTACAAATCGAGTTCAAGGATAGTCAGGGCTTTTATATAGAGAAACCCTGTTTCAAAAAAAACAAAAAAAGTCATGTTTTACAACTGTAGTCACCTCTGAAATAACTAACAGAGGTGAGGCACACCTACGGATGCCAAAACCTCCAAATGCGCCAACGCTGTCTAACAAGGTAGTCGTATGTTCTTTAGAGAAAAGGAGGGTCATGCCAATCACAACCCAGGTGCTTTATCCAACTTGGCTCCCCCAGTCATGGGACAAACTTCGATTATTTGTTTTCTGGACTGATGCAACATGAAGACCTCATTTTTATGTTGGTCTTACCTTGTTTCCAAACAAATCTAGAGTAAGCTGTTTTAAAATATTGTCATGAAAGTCTCACGCCACCTCTAAGGTGTGGAAGCTCCGCTGGATTAAAGAGGACAAACACAGCGTTAGAACCCGGAGCAGTGAGTGGATTCAGAACACAAGGGGTTGTTCTGTGAACAAGTAAGGAACTTTGAAGATGCACTGTACATTAGCAATAGTATTATTCACAGGGCTGGAGAGACGGCTCAGTGGGGAGAGGTGCTAGCCACCAACACTGACAATCTGCTTCCTCCTCAGGACCCACTGCAGAGAACTGACTCCCTCCACCCTCCATGCCTGCACCAAGGCACACACTGCACATACACACAGCCCCGCCCATAAATAAATTAACATGTACTAAGAAAATCTAAATCTCAGGGGTGGATGATGGTGTCTGAGAACCCCTGCTCTGAGGTACAGTTTCAGAGTGTCTGTAATGTACTTCCTTATGGCTCAGTCCCCAAGGCTGCCTGCCCTGGTCTTCAGATGCCAGTCAAAAGGCCCAGGTTGGGGCAGTAGAGGTGGTGCATCTGTCAAGAACACTTTGCTGCTTTTGCAGAGGACAGGGGTTCCATTGTCAGCAAGCATGGAGCAGCTCACATGGCTAACTCCAGTTCTAAGGGTTCTGACATGCTCTTGAGGCCTCTGCAGGCATCAAACAGGTACATGGTACATATACATATATGTAGGCAATGTATACACACAAAAGAAAAATAAATAGCTCTTTTTTTAAGAAGTCTCAGGTTGTCCCCATGCTTTTGACAGTCTGGCCACACGTCACAAGTCGCCACGCCCCACTCTTTGTACTCCACTGATTTGCTAGAACAGCTCATGAAACACACTTACCCATTCATGAGGATCTTGCACAGCCTGCAGATGGACACGGGAGGGAGACAGACTCGGGAAAAAGGGCCGTGGGAGGGCTTCTCTGGTCCTGCTGTGTGTGGGAGGTGGCCTGTCACATTCTGCCCTCACTACTGCTAGCCACTGGCTTTCTAGTTAAGCCTAGTTGTGTCTGAGCTTTGAAGTCATAGCGTTTTACCCTCTCTGGGTGAGTTGCCCTGTGGGCTTCTGGGTGTTTGACAGTCCAGGTCTCTGCGAGCACAGTCCTTTCGGGTCTTCCCAATGCTTCTCCGTGAGTGACTGTGCGCAGACCACTGGGGAGCAGCCACCACCTCCCCTCCCCGGAGGCTGGGAGAGGCCTTAAAGTTCCACTATTCCAATCACTCCTTGTCCTCCTGGTGTGGACTGGTGGTTTCAGGTCCACCAGTCCTGAAACTCTGAAGGTCGCCAGCCACCAGTCCCACCCAGAGTCTCACCGGCACTCGGGGCACTCTGAAGAGTCCAGGGTTTTAGAAGCAGAGCGACAGGAAGTGGAGACAAACCAAATATCTATTCCCTACTGTTGCCTAGAAGGAGGAAGTAAATGTCTTCCTGCTTCTTGGCAGAATCTCTCTAGATCACATGAAATCACTTAAAATTATCACCACTTTAAAATTTTTCCTAAGTTTATTTATTAATTTTGTGTGGAAAAGGAATGCATGCTTGCACACACCTTCCATGGGAATGAGTGGAGCTCAATGGACCACTTGAAGGAATGAGTTCCCTCCCACCATACGGGTCTCAGGGACTGAGCTCAGACCATCAGCCTTGGTGACAAGTCTCTTAGCCCACTGAGCCATCTCACCCGCCCTACTACCATTTTTTTTTTTTAAAGCATGAAATCCATTGCATTGCTTTGGTTTCCCAGCCAGGCCTTAGGAAATGGGTACAAGTGGGGTACTATTATCAATGGCAGAAGACACTAGAAAGTATCCGGACACATTACATGCGGGGTTGCTTACAGGCGACAGCGTGGATCCGGTGCAGCTGGGCACCAGAGGCTGAGAAAGCTAAGCAGGAAAAGGTGGGAACTGAGTGATAAATCACCACAGCCACAAGCAGCATAGGGAGGAAGGGTGTGTCACCTCCTCTTCCGCATCTCAGCCTACCTTTGATGGAAGTTGGGGCAGGAATTCAAAGCAGGAACCTGGAGGCAGGAACTGAAGCAGGGGCCAGGGAGGAACACTGCTTACCAACTTCCTGACTCACGGTTGGCTCAGTCTGCTTCCGTCTACAGTCCAGGGCCATTCCAGAGGTGACACCAGCCACAGTGTGCTGGGTCTTCTCTCGCCGATCATCACCCAAGAACATGCACTACATCACCCAAGGCTTGCCCACCATCTGATCTGGTGGGGTGTTTTCTCAGTTGAGGTTCACACTTCCTAAATGACTCCAGCTTGTGTCAAGTTGACACAAAACTAGGCAGTGCGCCATTCGCTCTCCTATCTCTAGCCTTCCTGTGTGTGAGAGGCGCCGCCCACACTCTGTTCGCTTCGCTGCCTGTCACTGGCCTTCTAGTTGAAGTCAGCCGCCCATGTGTAAACCTCAGCCCTGCAGAGTGAGTCCAGCCAGGCTTTTCAATCGTGATGAGCCTGAGGTTTAACCGCTGATTAGCTGGATGAATACGGGAGGCTTCAATAGCATGGGCCTGCTGCCTGGTGTGCGCTGTGCCACACAGGACCTAGGTACTCAGTGTAGGCCGTGCTGTTCCCTCACACAGCCAGCAGAAATCTCTGCTGATGCCGCTGCCCTTCACCCATACCCAGCTGATCATCATGCTCGGTCTCATGTGCTTCCTATTGCAGGTCCTAAATCACCCTGCCCTTTATTTTGTTGTTGCTGTTGTTTATTTACTTTTATTTTATATGCATTGGTATTTTGCCTGCAGATAAGTCTGTGTAAGTGTGTCAGATCTTCGAGTTACAGACAGTTGTTAGCTGCCCTGTGGGTGTTGGGAGAGCACCCTTAACCGCTGAGTCATCTTTCCAGGCCCACCCTGGAAAGAATCTAACTTCCTGTTTCTCTCCTGTAATAAACACCTGGTGGCCTCTCTTTTTCCCACACTTACCCCCAGGTCCCAAGCTGGTCTCCATGGCCAATATTAACATCATCATAAATTTAGTATAAGGCACCCTGCTGTTCCCATGAAGTCTGAGCTCCTGACATGCCTAGACTCCTGTCCAGGTCTCTAGCTTTGTATCCTAAGCTCTGCTCAGTGCTCCTTGCCTTCCAGTGATCTGGCCGCCTTCAAACACACCCTGATCACCCTCAGGACACAGGCTTCAGACCTCTGTTTGCGTCGGCCAAAGATGTCTACCCCACATCTTCCCTCCCAGGGCTTCCTCCTCTCGCTTGTCCGCTGGCTCTGAGCTCAAATGGCATTCTCAGATTGGCAGGTCTTCCCAAGCCGTTTCGTATCCCCCTCCACTGCTTAATGTTAGCCTTGCTCATTCTCACCAGAGCACTGGCCATTGACAATAAACAGGTTGCCCTGATCACTGGTCCCTAGTATTCCAGCCCTTGCTGAATATAATAACAGAACGGGGGGAAGGGGCGGGAGGCGGGGCGGGGATTGGCTCTGTGCCTTTTCAGCTGGCACGCAATAGGTGCTCACCAAGACACTGATGAGTTGATTCAAGTGTAGATTCAAATGTGTGCCCACAGGTCATGGGGTGTCACTGTACATCCCCCGGTCAGCCATCAATGCCACGGTCCAGGAAGACATCCTGCTGTCAGTGGAGTACTCCTGCCATGGAGTGCCCACGATCGAGTGGAAGTACACATCAAACTGGGGTGAGCAGAAGATCGTGGAGTGGAAGCCAGGGACCCCAGCCAATGTCTCCCAAAGCCACTCAGACAGAGTCTGCACCTTCGACAATGGTTCCATCCAACTTTTTGGTGTGGGCGTGAGGGACTCTGGCTACTATATCATCACTGTCACGGAGCACCTGGGGAGCAGACAGTTTGGCACGATCATGCTGCATGTGTCTGGTAAGAGAGCCCAGGGCTCCCTCAACTATAGGCACAGGCGGGCGACTTTGTAGTAGAGAGAGACCTTACCTTCCCTCCTCTCCCACAGAGATCCGCTATGAAGACCTCCACTTTGTCGCTGTCTTCTTTGCTCTGCTGGCCGCTGTGGCTGTGGTGCTGATCAGCTTCATGTGGGTCTGCAACCAGTGTGCGCATAAATTCCAAAGGAAGAGGAGACACAAGCTCAGAGGTGATGCTCTGGGCCTTGTGATGATCTCTTCATGTGTCTGAGGCCAGAGGTGGCACCTGTTACCTCATTCACTGCAAGAAACCACTGTGTGGTAGGCTTTCAACATCTTGGGGTGTGTGTGTGTGCGTGTGTCTGTGTGTGTGTGTGTGTGTGTGTGTGGTCAACACTGGGTGTCTTCCTCAAGCACACTCCACCCCTTATTTCTGAGGCAGTTTCTCTGACTTGGAGATCACTGGCTGCCCAATAAATGCCAGTGCCCCGACACTGGGATTACAGATTGGGGCTTTGTGCATGGGTTCTGGGGCTCTGGCTTCAGGTTCTTACGATTGCGCATTTAACAAGCTGAACCATCTCCCCAGCCTTTTGACTTGTCTTTTCCTTCGCAGAAAGCACCACTGAGGAGCTCGAAATGAAAGATGTTGAGTGTTAGCCAAGACTGTGCCCAATTACACTGCTACCTCAAGAGAAAAACAGTATTTTGCACTTGGAGGAACAGACTGAGGCAATCCTCGCTGCAGCCTCTCGTCAACTTTCCTGACGGGACAGCTGCAAGATCGGAAAGCTGCTGGGGGGGGGGAGCCTGAGGCGGCAGCTCACCATGGGAAGCCCGCTCTAGGACTTGATCAACTGAGGCTTTCAGCCGGGAACTTTTCTTGATTGCAGCTTCAGGGCTGTGCTGATCCTTAACCAATGACACCGGCAGGCACCAGAAGCTGCTTACAGTACTGGCTCTCATCCCACGCCGGCCTGATGAAGGAGTCCCTGTCTCCAGGGCCAGAGTGTCTGCAGAGAGGCACGTGCAGCCAGCGTTGGGACATGCTCTCTGTGTCTGCCTACTAACTGCTGCAGCCTCCGTCTCCCTGTCTTCCGTTGCATACACACGACTGTGCAGACAGTGTGAGCAAGCCTGAGGCTCTGAGTCGGTCTCATGAGATCGAGTGCTGCACCTCAGGGAGCCGCTGCACCTCAGGGAGCCCAACTGAGTACACCGGGGAAGCAGAAGATGGCGTTCCCATCCCCCCCACACAAAATTAATCAGGTGGCCTAACCTTGAGTTTAGTGTGAGGAACACGCGACTTGTGTTGACCAAGGCAGCTGGATGGGCGGCGGTACAACAGAAAACAACTGTAAGGTCAGGCTTCGTTCAGTTTCATCCTATCCGGTCATCAACACTCGGCCTCCAGTCAGATCCGGGGCTGAAGATGTGGTCTCACCTACCTCACAGCGCAAGAGGAGAAGCCAGCATTAGGCTAGATGTCTCGGAGCGGTTAAGAAAAGTGTGAGAATCCCTGAAGCTTCTGAAAAGCTCTGTGGGAAAGTGCTGTATTGAGTAGCAGCGGTCTAAGATGCCCTGGGATGGAGCCAGAGAGAAGGTTCAGCACTAAGCGCCCTTGCTGATCTTGCAGAGGACCCAGATTCAGTTCCGAGTGCACACGCGGTGGCTCATAACCTTCTGTAACTCCAGTTCCAGGGGATCTGATGCTCTCTTCTGGTCTCCATGCATGCACATGGTGTACACATATACATAAATAAAATTTAGAAAATAAATTAAATTTTTTATCACTGATCTGGGTTATCAGGGCTCCAGCTGAGCTGTGGGTTGGTTGGTTGGCCTCGGGTCTCTTCCCAGCCTCCATTCACCAGGCTATAGCAGCAGGCAACGCCCCCTTCTGAGCCTCCATTCACCAGGCTATAGTAGCAGGTAACGCCCCCTTCTGAGCCTCCATTCACCAGACTACAGCAGCAGGCAGCGCCCCCTTCTGAGCTTCCATTCACCAGGCTATAGCAGCAGGCAAGGCTCCCTTCTCGCTTCAGTAGCCACAGCAGCAGATTAAAGCTCCCGCTCCGCGATGATATGCAGGCCCTTGGCCGCAGTCATGCATACAAAGATAAAGTGTACTATAACTTTCCTTTTATTCTCCCTCCTTTCGAGTCCCCAATGCCCACATCTGTTCAACTTCCCATGTGGTGGGTAAGGAATTGTTGCTAAAAGTTCTTTCCTTGGGGAGATATAAACATTGACTTCCTCTCCTCTTCAAGTCCCAACAGCCAAGGTAGAGGGTCACCAAAGTTCACCCAGGAACCAATGAACGTGTTTGGTGTCTTACAGAGCAGGGGGTGAGGGGATATGGGCAGAGGCGGCTTTAGAACATCAGTCTGCACGGGGGCAATGATGACTTCCCATGATTGCTTCCCTACCTGTATGCTCTTGCCTCTTCCCACAGAACTGCATACAACTGATTGGGAGGGGTGGTTTGATACTCAAGAGAGGGTTCCAAGATACTTCCTGCCCCCTCCTCTGAGGGAAATCTCCTAAAGATGGAGGATAGTCCTGTACAATGGGAGTTACCCGCGAAGCCATTGAGATACCTCTCCTCAGAGCTAGAGGACTGGGCTGTGGAGGGGGCTCAGGCAGCGGCCGTGGGAGCAGTCGGTGTGCACCTGACTCAGAGGCACTCACCCCTGCCACTTCCTGTACACATGTCCAGACACCCACACCTGTGCCCCGTTTCCTAGCAGCAGGCTGAGGAAGCAGGCACTGAACCAGGGCAGTTTCCACGCGGTCCACTGGGGAACAGAAGACCCGAGGAAACGTGCCTCTCAGAAGTCCGCGGTTCTCCGCAGTGGGAGCTTGTGGTGTCCGACACCCCTGGCTGGGAGTCGGGGCTTAAGCCTTATGACCAGAGAGAGATGGAAGTGGATCCCAAGAAGCCGTCCATGTGCAAAGTATCTGCAAATCACATGGTCCTGGGAGAATCTCATGGAGCCATTTTCCGGCTGCCCTCTTTGGAAAGGGGCTTTCCTGCGCACACTCAAAGTCACTCCCTCTTTAAATTCTAGGGTCTCAAGTTTTGTCTTCTTTTGTTTTTTTCTAAAAAAAAAATTAAATTATAGAGAATGACCAATGTAATGTTAAATAATAAGTTGTTTCAGAGACTGTGGAAAATTGTTTTAAAAAATGAATGAAAATAAATAGTTCTGAAAATAAGGACTTAGCTGATTTGTGTGAGCACCTTCCTGTCAAGGCCAATGCTGGGGCCAGAGAGACAGTTCGGAGTTTAAGAACTGTTCTTAAACTGTTCTTCCTGAAGACAGGTTTGATTCCCAGATCACAGCTGTCTGAAACTCCAGTTCCACTGGATCTGATGCCTTTGTCTGGCCTCCTTGTGCACCAGGCATGCATGTGGTACAGTCGACACACCTATACACATAAAATAATAATATATTTTTTTTAAATGTCGAGGACTCTGGATGACGTTTTCAGTTGGTTCTGACCACCACAGAACTGTCAAGCATAGCCCGGGTCAGATCCATGTTTTAAATGACAAGGGAACTTCCGTGGGTCCTAACCCGCAACATATGTTCATACCTTTGAAAAACAAAACTGTTGTGTTGTAGCCAGAAGATCAGTTTGAAATGTGTACTTCCAAAAATTCACCTGTGATTCTAAAGTTCTTGCTCCAGCTGGAAAGGGTAGAGACCAGGAGATAGCCATGCCCCTGCTTCAGCAGAGCAGACCTTGCCCTGCAGAACACCTTCAGAACTGTCTTCTCAGCATCTGGTGTCCTCCTCAGGCCTTGTCTCTCCTAGCTAAGATGTCCCAGCAGCCTTACATCACTGCCTGTTCCTCACTGTGGTTTTGCTTCAGGATATGCCTGAGACCATCTCAGGCAGTTACAATCCCTGTGGGCCTCAGCAACTGTCGTTTTATTTTAGCTCTTTAATATTTAAAATAATAATATTTTAGCTGCCACACGGGCACAGCACGTACCTCTCTGGACACCTTTCAGAGGGCGGAGACAGTGGAGGCTGGAGTGCCAAGGAATGACCAGGGACCTGAATGTGGCAGGGTGAGCTCCAGGAATGTGTCTCAGATGCAGTTGCCTTGACAACCTGCTGGGTGCTGGCACCATGGAAACTCCTCCAGCTGTCACCAGCTTTGGCTTCATGTTTCCAGAAATCAGGCCTCTAGAGCGAATTGAGAACTCCTGTTGCCACAAGATACACATCCTCTTTCACCCACAGGAGGATGGGGTGCCCGCGTGTGAGCTTCTCCATATGACCATCTCAGCTGCCAATCCTGGAATCATTTCTCCTGCCTTTCAAGAATCTTTAATTGCAAAAATAATAAATGCCCTATGAAAAGTCCAATGGGCTATAAAAGTCCCTAATAGCGACAGTTCTCCTCAGAGGGAACAGTACCTGTCTATACGCACCTACACCTAAATACATCTATATACTACAGTACACATTTCAACAACGACACACTCATCTTCCCTCTGTAAATCTGGAGTGAACCTAGGCGCTCATGTGTGCTACGCAAGCACTCTCGTGTCGGGCTGCATTTCAGCCCCCAGCCTGTTTAGTCAGACTGAACTCGGCTGTACACATTACCTATGGCTCTTCCTGATGTGTCTTGGCATTATCCCACGTCTCTTTACTAAAATCCTTTTTATTTCATGACAGATTTTTAGTTTTTTATATTTTGAGACAGGGTTTGAAGTTTGTAGTTTGAGACATCCCTATGTAGCCCTGGATGACCGGGAACTCCATGTGCCTCTGCCTACCAAGCGCTGAGATCAAAGGCTTACAGCACACCATGCAAAAATAAAAATCTTAGGCTAACTTTCTGCTATTACCTCAGATTACAGGCACACAATATCCTACTCACATTTTTATCACGTGTGGTGCGTGTGCATGTGAGCACTGTACACGTGTGCATGCATGTGTGCACACGGAAACATGAGGTGGACGTCAGCTATCTCCCTTGATGGCTCTCCAATTTATAGGGTGAGGGCTCCAGGGACCCCAGCTCTCTCACAGGAAGCAGGCTATAGGCAGATCGTTATAATCATCTAGCATTTTGTCTAGGTGCCGGGACCCAAGACCATCCTTACTCTAACACAGCAGTACTACCCTGGGGCTACCTCCCCGTCTGGCTCCCCACTGGTGATGCCCCTCCCAGGTCTGGCTCCAAACTGGTGATGTCTTTGACTATCACCTTCTAGGAATTCAGTGTTTAATAAAGTTGTTTAATAAAGTGGAGGGGAAGCTTGTCTAAGTATTGGGGTGAAAGAGGACACTGCTAGTGTAGAATGGGTCAAAATATCTACCTTAGATTTGGTTTTACAGTGTACATATGGGAAGGCTAAATTCCATTGGTGTAAAGGGCCCACCTGTGCCTCCAAATGTCTTTCTTCAGGAACCTCACACTTTGCCTGCTTTAGGACTTTTTACTGACTAAACAAAGTAGACTTCTTAAGTAATTCTAAGTCCAGTGCAGTCAGCTCTGTGAGGTTTTTCTACAGCCACTAGCAGAGCTGTTTCCGTTTCTGTACAAAGTGGAGCAGGACACGGAGTCCGACACCTTTAAGGCGAAAAACACCCAGACTTGTCATCTGTCTAACATCACACTTCAGCCTGAAGCAGAACGGTCACAAACTCAAGGTCACCCTTTGTACAGAATAAGATTATGTCTCAAATTACAAAGCAAATAAAAAAAAATCTCACACAAAAAATTAAGATCTGATGACCTCTTTCTGCAGAGGAATCAGAAAGCACTGAGAGCAGGGCAGGCACATCTGGAGTGGGTAGCCACTTACATGGACAGACAGACTAGTGAGAAATAAGCTCTAGACCACACCGTCTCCTTCTGCATTCCCTTCTGAGAAAGTTCTTAGCTGCTCTTGTTGACCCAGGGAAGTAAGAGGCACTTCACTTCCCAAATACCCAAGAGCCCCAGTGCTGGGGTGAGGGGCTGCTTCCTGTAGGTGACCTTGGTGAGTTTCAGAGAAAGGTCTGGTATGTTCAGTGTTCTGCATCATGAGACGTTCTTAGGTGGTTTTAAAAAACACTAGGAATGGTTGATTTGAGACACAGATTATATGGGCTGTAAGAAATTCACAAGGCACTTGGAGATTTTAAACACAAAGCTTATGTTAACATCAAAGATAGGATTTTTATTTTATTTTATTTTATTTTAAAAAGCAAATTCAAGCCCTTAAGTTAGTAATGCTTTCACATTAGCTGTATAAAAAATGTATTATTTTACATCTCCCCATACTGTATACTACCACAGTACAGAAACTTCTCTCTTCCAAAGCACTCGTCACTTATAAAGTGAGAGGATGCCAGCTGCTAACTGTCACACGGGCTCCTGTGAAGGACAGGAGCGCCAGTACTTATATGGAAGACGTCTCTCTCTCTTGTGCTTGTAGCTGACCTGCAAACATCCAAGTCAATGCTTCTGGAACTTGTTCTGGAGAAAATCACAACAGACAGGGGCTCAGCGCAGACATAAGCAGCTCCATTTTATAAACAAAATTGCGGCCCTCCATCTTGTTCCACTGAACCTCCTTGAATGGTCCACGCAGGTGGCTCCACTTGTTGTCCTGTAAAACGTCACTCTTCGGAAGGTCTTTGCACTGGTTCCGGGGAAACTGAACCATAATCTTGCTGCCACTCTCAGGTCCATTACGAACTATTGACGAAACCAATAATCAGTACACACACTTTGAAACTTATGAAGTAATGGAAAACCTACACTTCGTTCTGTGAGCACAGAAAACTACCCAACAGGGGCTGGAGAGATGGCTCAGAGGTTAAGAGCATTGCCTGCTCTTCCAAAGGTCCTGAGTTCAATTCCCAGCAACCACATGGTGGCTCACAACCATCTTTAATGGGGTCTGGTGCCCTCTTCTGGTCTGCAGGCATACACAATGACAGAATATTGTATACATAATAAATAAATAAATATTTTTTTTTTAAAAAAAAAAGAAAACTACCCAACAGCTTAGATAATCTCTTTAACAAGGGTTTCAAGAGCTGGTCATGGTGGTGCACACCCCTAACCCCTGCACCTAGGAGGTACAGTCTGCAGGATCACAAGTTCAAGGCTAGTTTTAGCTACATAGTAAGTTCAAGGGCAGTGCTTCATTTCCAAAATACTAAATTTATTTATTAATTTATGCACATATATGTATGTATGAATGCATGCGTGTGTGTACATGTGGGTCAGAAGACAACTTCCAATTTGTTCCCTCTGACCACCATGTGGATCTTGGGATCAAACTCAGGTCATCAGGCTTGGTGGCGAGTACCTTACCTGCTACACCATCTTGTCAGACCTCCAAATGCTAAATTTTTGCACACACTCATACACATACTCTAAGATGATTTAAATATCTTTGAATTATTTGTCCTATAAAAATTAGACAAGATGTGTCTGTCAGGTGTTGTGACCTATGCCTGCAATTCAAGCCCTCAAAGACCTAGACAGGAGGACCAAGGCTGGCCTAGGCTACAAAGCAAACTCAATACCAGGCTGAACTATACAGAGTTTGAAGCCAGCCTAAACTCCACACAAGACCTGGTCTCCCAGATAAAGAAATAAAGGAAGAACTCTTGGTTTCAATGAAGTTTGAACTGATGCAGGTGAGATCTAAAACACGGCCCCGTGAACTTACCAGTAGCCTCAGTTTAAGAACAGAAGCTTGCTTAGTAAGTTCTCCCACACTTTCCTCCCTCCCCTACACACACACACACACACACACACACACACACACACACGCACACACACTCACTCCTGACTTGAGTAACAAATATCAGCAAACAGCAGTGTAAACATGTTAGCTCATCTCAGTCAGATGACTTCTACTCACGTTTAGTTATTAAAGCGGAATGTTACAGAGTTACCCCATATGGAGCAGCGGAAAGTACCTGAAATGGCATAGTCACCATTTGGGGAGGCCACTGTGATGGCGGAGGCATTGCCGATGCTCTCTATGGGCCCGAGTCCCACGTGATTACTGAAGCTGAGGACCTGCCAGCCCATGACCTTGGCAAGCTGCTGAACCGCGTGCACCTGGTGCTGTGACATCTGTGAACGAGAAGGTGTGACTCAAGCTCGGGCACACTTTGGTGATTCGATGTAATCAACCCTAAGTTTGCTGGG